TATTCTATTCATCCCAGCCTCAGTATCTCAGAATTTCCCCCAAAAAGTCCCCAAACTGACACTGATTGGCACATCTCAGCTCACATATTCAACCATTCAGCCAGTGTGACCAGTGTAGAAAGTGAAAGTAATTGATGTACTCAATGCATTAGCCTAGGTCAGTGCTTCACTCCTACAGCTAGAGATACAAAGGTCAGTGCTTCATTCCTAAAGCTAAAGGTTTATGAAAACCACAGGGAAGGGGTGCCTGGGTGGCTCAGTTGGCTAAGTGGCTGCCTTCGGATTGGCTCCCGTCATGACGTCAGGGTCCTGGGATCGAGCCCCACATGGGGAGCCTGCTTCTCCCTCTCCTCCCCGCTTGTGCTGTCTCTCACTATCTCTCTCTCTCTCAAATGAATAAATAAACTCTTAAAAAAAAAAAAAAACATACACACAAGGAGTCAATGCCTCAAGAACCCTAATATACATGAAGAAAAAACTGACAGAATTGAAAGGAGAAATAGAGAATTCAACAATACTGCTTGGAGACTTCAATACTCCACTTTCAATAATGGTCATCTAGGAAAACTAGGAAGAATGTCAACAAAAAAATAGGCTTGAAAATACTATAAAATGGCTAGACCTAGGGGCGCCTGGGTGGCTCAGTTGGTTAAGTGCCTGCCTTCGGCTCAGGTCATGGTCCTAGGGTCCTGGGATTGAGCCCCACATCGGGCTCCCTGCTCCGCGGGAAGCCAGCTTCTCCCTCTCCCACTCCCCCTGCTTGTGTTCCCTCTCTCGCTGTGTCTCTTTCTGTCAAATAAATAAATAAAATCTTAAAAAAAAATAGCTAGACCTAACAGACACCTATGGACACTGCACAACCATAGTGAATACACATTTTTCTCAAGTACACATGGAAAATTCTCCAAGGTAAACCATGTGCTAAAGCATAAAAAAGAAGTCTCAACAGATTTAAAAGTGTTGAAATTATGCCAAATATGTTCTGCAAACATGGAGTTAGACCAGAATCAGAAACAGAAGAAAATTTGGAAAACTCATTTATATGTGGATATTAAGTGACACACACTAAAATAATCAATGGTTCAAAGAAGAAATCTCAAGGAAAATTAGAAAATACTTTTAGATAGATAAAAATGAAAACATAAAATATCAAAACTTAGGGGATGCACCTAAAGAACTCCTTAAAGAGAAATATGCAGCTGTATGTAAATACTTGTATTAAAAAAGATGACTTGTATTAAAAAAGATAGTCTAACTTTACGTCTTTAAAAAACTGAAAAAAAGTGGTACACCTGGGTGGCTCAGTCAGTTAAGCGTCTGCCTTCAGCTCAGGTCATAATCTCAGGGTCCTATGATTGAGCCCCACATCGGGCTGCCTGCTGAGCAGGGAGCCTGCTTCTCCCTCTCCCCCCTGCTCATGCTCTCTCTCTTGCTATTTCTTTCTCTCAAATAAATAAATAAAATCTTTTTTTAAAAAACTGGAAAAACAAACTAAACACAAAATAAATAGAAGGAAGGAAATAATAAAGATAAGCATAGATATTAATGAAATAGAGAATAGAAAAATAGAGAAAAGCAACAAATCCAAAAATTGATTCTTTGAAAATAACCACAAAATTCACACATCTTTAGCTAGACTGGCCGAGATGAAAATAGAAAAGTCAAGTAACTAAAATCTGAAATGAACAAGAGGATATCACTATCTATAGTAATTTTAAAAAGGATTATAAAGGAACATTATAAATAACTGTATGCCTACAAATCAGATAATCTAAAGGAAGTGAACAAATTCCTAGAACAGAAACTATTGAAACTCAAGAAAATCTGAATGGAATTATAACTAGTAAAAAGATTGAATTAGGAATTTGAAACCCCCCCCCCACAAAAGACCAAGAAAGACACCAAGAATGCTAATGCATAGAGAAAAGGCCATGTGGGGACAAAAAAAGAAAAAAAAAGCAAGGAGGAATCCATCTGCAAGCAGGAAGAGAGGTCTCACCAGACATCCTGCTGGCACCTTGATCTTGGACTTCCAGCCTCCAGACTGTGAGAAAATCAATTTCTGTTTTTTAAGCCACTCAGTCTGCCATATTTTGTTATGGAAGCTTTAGAAGACCAACAGAAGTCTTTCTCAACACTCATTAACAACTCATTATACTTCCCTTACACCACTTTTCAAAAGTTACTTCATATTAAAAAAAATTCCCTTAAAAAATTATAGTTATTTGTATATGTCTTCTCTAGGGTAATATTAGTTCCTAAGAACAGGAATCATGTCGTATAAATTTGTATCTTCCTCCCATAGCACCTAAAACAATGTGTTTATGTACTTTGCTATGTATTTTAAAAATGGATATTCAGTATTTGAAGCTGCAAAAATGGATTAGTTATTAATGTTAGGCAGAAGTATCACTTTGCTAATATGTTTATTTGGAGATTAAATATGGTTTAAGGACATATATATAGGTGCCAGATTGACAAGGGGTGAACTGTGATGGTTAGTTTTAAATGTCAATTTAGCCAGGCTACAGTACCCAGTTATTCAATCAAGTGCTAATCTAAGTGTTACTTGATGGTGTTTTGTAGATGTTCACATCTACAATCAGTTGACTTTTAAATAAAGGAGATTGTCCTCGATATTCTTGGTATGTCTCAACCAATCAGTTGAAAGACCTTAAAAGCAAAACTGAGGTTTCCTTCAGGAAGAAGAAATAATACATTGTTACTACAATGACAACTTCTGCCCAAGAGTTAGCAGCCTGCCAACCTGCCTAGACATTTTGGACTGGCCGCTCCCCAGAAGTGCATGAGACACTTCCTTGAAATAAATCTCATAATATGCATGATCTACTGGTTCTGTTTCTCTGTAGAACCTTGACTATTAAAATTAACCTTTTAGTTATTTCACTTATAAATACTAGAATTTCTATGATTCTTTTTTTGAAAAGTCTTTCTCTTTATTGCAATTCTGTATTGAGTAAGTTATTGTCATCATAATTTAATTCTTTATATATGGTTTCTTTAGTTCCCTGAATATATTTATAATAATTTCTTTGAAATCTTTGCTAAAGCAAACATATGGGAACACTCAGATACAGTTTCAGTTGATGAGTATGGTTCACATTTTTTGTTTCTTTGCATGTCTTTTTGTTTAAAGATTGTATTAATTTGAGAGAGAGAGAGCACAAGCAGGGAGAGGGGCGCAGGGAGCCTGACTTGGGGCTCGATCCCAGGACCCTGGGATCATGACCTGAGCTGAAGGCAGACACTTAACTGACTGAGCCAGCCAGGTGCCCCTGTTTCTTTGCATGTCTTACAACTTTTTGGTCAAAACTGAATATTTTAGATAGTATATTAAAGTCTGGATTCTGATTTCACCTCCTGCATGTTAATCTTGGTACTTAATCACTTGCCTAGACTAAATCTGTGAATTCTATCTCCCATGCAATGTGTGTGTGGCCACTAGGATCCGTTTTTAAATTTTATTCATTTTTTTAAAGTTTATTATTTTATTTATTTATTTATTTATTTATTTATTTATTTATAATCTCTACACCTAACATGGGTCTTGGACCATGACCCCCAAATCAAGAGTCACATGCTTTTCCAACTGAACCAGCCAAGCACCCCTTTAATTTTTATTCTTGTTTTTTTTTTTTAAGCTTGGCTTCCTAGGGGTCTCCTCTGTGTCTTTATAGCTTCGTGTTCAGTCAAAGAAAGATTGTGCTCAAATACCTCACGCCAATAAGATTTTTACTCTGTACTTGTGGGTCAATGTGTGCACTGAGTTCAGTGTTCAGTGTTCAATGTGTGCACTGAGTTCGAAGTTCAGACTGTTTTCATTTCTTGCCTGGCTTTTACATTGTTCTAAGTCCTCTTGAGCCATCTTGCTTCTCAATTTGCATGTGCTGTTGGCTCCACGAGCCCAAAATGTTTGCATGATTTAGGCCTCCTCGGTTTTTGTCTTTGATACATACACTCACAGCATTTGGTCCACTCCGGCTATGTGGAGAGCTCATCAAGGCCCCTATGGCTATGTCAGCTCTGAGAAATTCCTGTTAAATCCCTGCCTACTCTGCAAATCCATTGCTTGCCCCAAACAGGCCCACAATAGCAAGGAAGCAGAGCCACCTGCCATCCATATTTGCTTGCCACTGAGATCACCAATTTAATATATAATGCTCTAAATTAATCAAGCCTCCTCTGGCCAAAGCAACAAGACTGTGTTGATTTTCATATCCTGCCTCAACCAAGTTGAATCTCTGTGCCAACTGAACTGATTGAGGGCATGACAGTAATCCCAGGCAGGAACAACAAGCCATGTTACTGTCCTCCGAAATTCAGTGGTTTTCATAAATAAGTGCTTCTCAGCTTATAGTATGCCTTTATTATTTCTAGAGTATCAAATTATTATTTTGAAAGGTTTATCTCACTTTATACTTGCTTTTTGGAGAAAGGATGTGTCAACCTCCTCACTCCATTAATTTTATCTCTCAAAAAATTCAAGAATTCCATCCAGTCTGAGAAGTAATCTGGTTTCCATGGTTAAATGATTCAGGATCCCAAGAGTTAGCATTTTACTTTTTATTTATTTATTTTTTAAGATTTTATTTATTTATTTGACAGAGAGAGACACAGCGAGAGAGGGAACACAAGAGGGATTGGGAGAGGGAGAAGCAGGCTTCCCGCGGAGCAGGGAGCCCGATGCGGGGCTCTATCCCAGGAGCCTGGGATCATGACCTGAGCCAAAGGCAGACGCTTAACCGACTGAGCCACCCAGGCACCCAACATTTTACTTTTTAGACCTCTAGAGAAGAAGTCACAACCATATAAATGACAAAGATGCTTCTTAACTCATAGGGGACTAGGGTTTACTGCATTTTGTATATAGTATTATATTTTAAAATACATATTTGTATATAGTATAGCTCCTGTATTTTGGAGTTGTTTCAACCTTACTTCATAACTTATTTAACATATTTTTCTTTTAATTTCAGATTTAGTTAAGTTCCTTATGTCCTCCCCTGAAATTGCTTCCCTATCATGGGGGCAAATGAAAGTACAAGGCGCTACTAAAACCTATAAGGACTGCAAAGTGTGGCCAGGGGGAAGTCGGGCTTGGGATTGGAGAGAAACAGGAACTGAGGTAAGCTATTAGTGTTTGGTTGACATTGCATAAGGCTGACTAAGTGATTTCCAACCTCCTAAGCCATAATGACCAAGTGAAAGTAACTATTCCTCTTATTCCTCTCTCTCTCTCTCTCTCTCTCAGTATAATGCACATACCACTAACTCACTCTTTTTTTTCAAAGATTTTATTTATTTATTTGAGAGAGTGAGCCAGAGAGAGAGCAAGCAGGAGCAAGGGGAGGGGCTGAGGGAGAGGGAGAAGCAGACTCCTCACTGAGCAGGGAGCCCCATGCAAGCTCCCTCCTGGGACTCCAGGATCATGACCTGAGCCGAAGGCAGAAGCTTAACTGACTGAGCCACTCACGTGCCCCCTAACTCACCCTTTTAAAGTATACAATTCAGTGGACTTTTTATTGGCATAAACTTGTGCAATATTTACCAGTGCTAATTCCAGAATATACTTACCACCTCAAAAGGAAACCTCATAACCATTAGCATTCACTCCCCTTTCTTCCCTTTCTTCTCTCCCCTCAACTCCTGCAACTACTAATCTACTTTTCTTTTTTAAAGATTTTATTTTTTTAAGTAATCTTTACACCCAGTGTGGGGCTCAAACTAAAAACCTGAGATCAAGGGGCGCCTGGGTGGCTCAGTTGTTAAGTGTCTGCCTTCGGCTCAGGTCATGATCCCAGGGTCCTGGGATCGAGCCCCGCATCGGGCTCCTTGCTCTGCAGGGAGCTAGCTTCTCCCTCTCCTCCCCGCTTGTACTCTCTCACTGTCTCTCCTTCTCTCTCTCTCAAATAAATAAATAAAATCTTAAAAACAAAAAAACCCTTGAGATCAAGAGTTGCATGCTCTTCCAACTGAGCCAGCCAGGCGCCCCTAATCTACTTCTGTTGCTATAGATATGCTTATTCTAGACTTTTCTTATGAATAGAATCATTCAGTTCTCTTAGGTATATACCTAGGATTGGAAATGCTGGTCATATGACAACTCTAGATTTGATCTTTTGAGGAACTGCCAAATTGTTTTCCAAAGCAAATGCACTATTTTACATTTTAGAGTTTAGGAATTATGAAGGTTCCAATTTTTCTAAATATCTCCTCACTGACACTTATATTGTTTGTTTTGTTTTTATTATATATCATCTTGGTGGATGTGAAATGTTATCTCATTGTGGTTTCAACTTGCATTTCCCTTGTATTATACTTCCTCCAGTATTCTCACTGTGCCATGGCCAAGGTAGAGGTTGGGTGAAAGAAGAGAGCACCTGCCTCTTGACCACACTCACTTAGGACTTAGTCTCAGCAACAGACAGCTGGGGCAGGATGAGAAACATTTAAGTCCTGTTTCTCCCAGGAACAAAGGCTTCCAGCTGGTAGCTGAAACAGGAAACAATTCTGTGTTCTTGGCTGCAGCAGTCTGGACTGGAGTCTCCACCTCACTAAGCTGGGGGGCCAGGGTGGGGGTCAGGCAGCAGTCTTCCTGAAAAACCACAGATACTCACCTTTCCTACCAAATATTTATAGATTTTCCTGAAGAGATGTTTTTCCATTTGCTGTTTGTTCTTAGGATAATTTCCAAAGGCTTTGAGTGGTTTCTTTTTTTCCAATTTTTTTTATTGGGGTAGGTGTAAAATTTGTTTTTGTGTATGTGGGGGAGTTATTTTTCTTTGTTTCCTTTAATAATTTTCATTTTGGGGGGGCGCCTGGGTGGCTCAGTCGTTAAGCAGCTGCCTTCGGCTCAGGTCACGATCCCAGGGTCCTGGGATCAAGCCCCGCATCGGGCTCCCTGCTCCACGGGAGGCCTGCTTCTCCCTCTCCCACTCCCCCTGCTTGTGTTCCCTCTCTCCCTGTGTCTCTCTCTGTCAAATAAATAAATAAAATCTTTTAAAAAAATAATAATAATTTTCATTTTGGAACAGGTCATAGGGCTCTTCATGCTGTAATGATGGAAGTGGATCCTTCAGTTTTGAAAGATAATTTTGCTTGATACGTAATTCTTGGTTAAAAGTCTTTTCCTGAGGTGCCTGGGTGGCTCAGTTGGTTAAGCGTCTGCCTTTGGCTCAGGTCATGATCCCAGGGTCCTGGGATCAAGTCCCGCATCGGGCTTCCTGCTCAGTGGGGAGTCTGCTTCTCCCTCTGCCTGCTGCTCCCCGTGCTTGTGCTCTCTCTCTCTCTGTCAAATAAATAAATAAAATAAAATAAAAAGTCTTTTTCTTTTAGCACTTTGAATATGTCATCCCACTTTTGGCTTCATCAGTTACTAATGAGAAACCAACTATTAAAGGTTTCTTGGACTTGACAAGTCATTTCTCTCTTGCTACTTTCAAAATTCTTTGTCTTTTGCTTTTGACAGTTTCACTGTGATGTGTCTACACGTGAATCACTTTGAATTTATCCTACTTGGAATATATTGAACTTTGTGGATGTGTACAGTGTTGTTTTTTGTCAAATTTGGGGAATTTTCAGCCATTCTTCAAATATCCTTTCTGTCCCTTCTGTCTCTCCTCTCCTGTGATACCCATTATGAGTATATTGTAATGTTAAATGGTATTCCCTCAGGTGTCTGAGGCTTTGTTCATTTTCTTCATTCTTTTTCCCTTTTTCTCAAATTGGATCATCTCAATTGATGTATTTTTCAGTTTTGCTGATTCTTATCTGCAATTGAGCCTGTTAGTGAAATTTTCACTTGGTTATTGTATTTTTCAACTCCAGCATTTCTATTTTGTCCTTTAAAAAATAATTTCTATCTCTTTATTGATATTCTCTATTTTTTAAGGTATTGTCCTCATACTTTCCTTTAGTTCTTTGAATATGGTTTCCTGAAATAATGATTAGACAGGTGTCTTTATATGCCTGCAACCAGTAGGTGTTCCAGTGTTTGCCGAGGGGCTCTATGCAATTTGGGGTATGTGGTCAACACTCAGCCAGGCTGTTTAAAATTCTGCCTATTTCTTACTTATGTAGAGTCTCAAGGTCAGCCAGAGTGGTGAACTTAGGGCTTTCTCGTGTCATTCCTGAGCATGTGCACAATCCTGGAAGTGTATTGCCATTTCAATACCAAGGTTCATTCATATCAGAGCTTTTCAAAGCCCTCTGTGGACATCTTATTTCCCAGTTTTCCCTTTTGAGTTTTTTGGTTGACCTCTTGTTTGCCCTATTGTCCAATGCATCAGGCAACCACTTGTTAAACATTTGTCTCATAGTTTTGGACAAACTTCTTTGGGGGTGGTGGTGGGGGAAGAGATTTACACTGGCAAACTCCAAGTCAGATAAAATAAAGACAGCCTATGAGTTGGGTTGTCCAGAGAACCATCAGACAGGTCAAATAATGACAGTTTTCTGGGAGTGGAGATTTGAGGGAGTTTTGATCCATTATTCCATCTTGTGTGACTTCCAGACTGGTAGTTTTCACTGTGATTGTTGCTTTTCAAGGCTACCACAGAACTGGAGATGGAATAGATTAGAATAGGGGAAGTTAAAATTGCACAAAGCTCACTTTTTGGCGATCTTTTTTTTTTTTTTTTTTTGTAATCAACACACCCCCATTGCTTCTCGGCCTTTTGGCTAAGATCAAGTGTAATCAACACACCCTGAATTACTGGAAACCTTTGTTAACTTCCAGAGAACAGAGTAAATTTATTTTTATACTTCTTCCATTATTCTCATTGCTTTTATGACAAAGAGGATTTTCAGAGGTTCTTCACAACAATTTCTCTGATATCACTCAGAAATAACTGTTTTGAGGGCGCCTGGTGGCTCAGTTGGTTAAGCGTCTGCCTTCAGCTCAGGTCATGATCCCAGCGTCCTGGAATCGAGCCCCACACGGGGCTCCCTGCTCAGTGCGGAGTCTGCTTCTCCCTCTGCCTGTTGCTCCCCCTGCTTGTGTGCTCTCCCTCTCTCTCTCTGACAAATAAATAAATAAAACCTTAAAAAAAAAAAAAAGAAAGAACTGTTTCAGATTCATATTTATGCAGTGGTATGCTAGACATGGCTTTCACTGGCTTGTGAGAATTGATTGTTAAATTTTCAGGAATTTTGTAAGTCAGTTTTTAGACACATATTTTAAATTATATAAATTTACTTAAATAAGTCATTTAAGACATAGGTAATATATTTAAAATTCATTATTCCTAATTATTTTACTACATTCTATGCTTTTGAAATTATTTACATCCATCATTATCTGTATGGTGAAAATACTATATATGTGCTACTGTACATCTCTCTTTTTTTTTAAGATTTTATTTATTTATTTGACAGAGAGAGACACAGAGAGAGGGGGAACCCAAGCAGGGGGAGTGGGAGGGGAGAAGCAGGCTTCCCACAAAGCAGGGAGCCTGATGCAGGGCTCGATCCCAGGACCCCGGAATCATGACCTGAGCTGAAGGTAGACGCTTAACGACTGAGCCACCCAGGCGCCCCTGTACATCTCTTATTAACTCTGCATTCAGTGATGTCACACTGGTATCTTAAACATGGTGGGAGTGTTTTACACCACAGAAATTGGAAAACACTACATATTGGGTTTTTTTGTTTTGTTTTGTTTTTTGTCTTTGTAACTATGGCTTTAAAAAAAATTTTATAGCTTTAAAAATTTTATTATTAAACATAAGTTTAATTCATTGAAAATTGTAAAGAATAGTAGACCTGTGTACTCATATTCCAGTTTTAAAAATAAAATCTTAGAAGTTTGATCTCTTTCTATCCACCCTTATCAGTATCCTGAATTTCCTTTATACTTTTCAAATATCTATCTGTATCCACAACCCATATTTTGTATTGTTCTTCGTATTCAAATTTTTATATTAATGGTATCATCTATTGTCCACTTTTTTTTGTGTTGAGGTTTTATTCCACTTTTGTCTCTTCTTCTGGAAGCTGTGCATTTTATTTCTATTCACTTAGTGGTTATCTTTAAAATTGTAATATATTAGGTTGAACCACATGAGATTGACAATATTTTATAGATAAAGAGTTGAATTTAGGAATTTCATGTAGTTCATCCTAATA